TTGTAGTCTGTTTCTGGATCCTTGGCACTGGGCAGGGGTGGAGTGGGGTAATGATAGGAGCCCACCTCCCTCAGAATGGCTGTGGGGCCAATTCAGAGGACTTAAGATGCCAAAACTTGTTTGCTGCACTATGGAGGAAGGCATCCCAAGGCTTAGGGACACTGAACATTGGAGTGGATTTATGATGAATGTCCTATTCAGTCACGTACTCTGTTCACTGTGAAGGTCCAGAAGATACCCTTTTTACCAAGCCTTAGAGAAACAGAGGAGCATGGCATCTTTGAGAAGGTTTGTAATGGCAGTTCTCTGTAGGTCAGTAATGCAGATGGGAAATGCTGCCATTGACACATGGGCACTGCACAAAATGAATGAGCACTGGAGAAAGGGAAATACTCTCTTGGGAGAAGGGTCCTAGAACTGGAATTACTTGACAAAATGCTCTGTGGTCTAAAAGGTAGGTAAGTAGATATACAGGAGTTTGGGCTTAATTCTATCTGATTCAGGTTGAAGACGACTGAGACCTGTGGGTACGGATGGTGAGGTGACAAAGGTGTAGACTGTGCTGGATTGTGTGAAGTATTTGTTGTTGTGTGCCGTCGAGTCGGCCCCGACTCATAGCGACCCCTCCTTGGGTTTCCGAGGCAGTGTCACTACGGAAGTAGGATTGCCCAACCTTCCTTCCGAGGAGTGGCTGGTGGGTTTGAACCGCCAGCCGTCTGGTTAGCAGGCAAGTGACTTAGCCACTATGCTACCAGAGCTCCGTGTGAAGTATTTAGGTCTAGAAATTATATTTCCCAGAATCTCCTTCCCTATATGATTTTGGGTTGAAGTTGGCCAAGAGAAGAACTTGCAGGAGATTTGGAAGACGGGAGGGAAGAAGACACCTTCATTCTGAAAAGGTTCTGTGGTCAAAATAATAGCAGACACATAGGTGCCTGTCAGGCTCCAGATTTCACTTGTCGTCCCAGCTTCTGGCCCTGACAACCAATCATCAAGTGGCCCCAGACCAAGCATCAAGTACTTGGTTGCAGTTTCCACAAAGACAGCAACTCCTTCATATCCCTCCACAGGCTTCCAATCTCTGCTGTCACCTCAGGGACAAGACATGTACAGCTTCTGGGATTTCCCTTTAAGCCCATCTGCACCAGGTTATTATGGTTAGTGACATCTCAGATTCTCTGACTCCTGTCTTTCACACCTCGCTCTTCTTATCCCCATTAGGCCTTTGGCAGCTCTGTTTTTCTGACTGAACCTTCACTGATACAGACGTGTCTCATTTCATTGTAGTCATCACTGGCATCATTATTGATGCCCATATGGTCCCATCATAGACTAGCAAGAACCACTCCAAGTTGGCATCTGTACCACTGTCCCTTTGACTCGGTTACAGTTGGCATGAATAACTTCTAAATAGCTTTGCTTTACTTTCTCTAGACTCAAAGTCACATGACTTTCTTCCTCATGTTGGTCAGTTCTTTGCTCAACTGTCACTTGTACAGAGAGGCTTTCTCTGACCACTGTTTCCAAAATAACAGCCTTCTCTCTTCATCCCTTCACTCCGCTCTATGTTTATTGGTGCCTTACATACACTTAATTTCTATTGCTGGTCTCCACACTAGAATGTCAGCTCCTTGATGGTAGGGACTTTGTCTCTATTTTGTATTTTGTCCTCAGTATCTAGCACAGTGCCTGCCATAAGCAGGTGTTCAGCAGACATTTTTTTAATGGATGAATGAAAGTCCTGGTTGGGAGTGGTTGATGGATATTTGTCAGTCCATGTCCAAGCTGTGGTTGTCAAAGGCAGAGAGGGGAATATAGGTCCTCATTACTTGCTATGACCAGAAGAGGCAAGAAGGGTTTGGGGATGCTGGGACCGAACAAAAGGGCACCGAGAATGGAAAGGTAAGTATCCCCCCATATCAGTATTATCAGAAGGGCAGCTGTGGTTCATTGGCAGAGTCCTGCCTTTCATGTGGGGGACCCAGGTTTGAGTCACAGCCGGTACTCCTCGTGGAGGCTTGCGTGTTGCTATCACACTGAACAGGTTTTGGTGGAACTTCTAGACTAGGATCTGCTCGGAAGTCAGGCCTAGTATGGCCCATATATCAGCCAGTGAAAACCCTGTGGGTCGCAGTGGCTCCGTGTGCAGTGATTACAGGGCTGGGCAGCGTTTCGTTCTGTTGTGCGTGGGGTCTCCATGAGTGTCTGGCGGGGTGCTACTCGGTTAACAATAACAACGAGTGCATTTAATAGACAGTTGACTACAATCTAAATACTGTCAGGAAGAACATTTTAGTTTAAAATTACTTAATGAAAGCCAAAATGATTCTATTATGGCAGACATTTACCCAAATATAATTAGTCTACTCCCAGTAAGTACATATAGCAAGTGAACTCGTTTATTGACCTAAAGGTTCATTTCGCAACCTATTGATACTAGTGGGCCTGTGTGGAAGTTAGATTCTTAAATTCTACCTTTTCGTGGTGACATTGTTTGGATTTTTCTATGGTTGTGGTGAGCAATGGCTAGCTTCTGCTCTGAAAATCTTCAACATCAAAATCTTCTCAGACACACCTTGAGCTGTGCAGCTTTGAGGTTTTGATCATGTTTGGTTCACATGCTGGGGAAAGTTCAGAAGTTTTCTAAGAAAACGCTGTCTCAACCTCCAATGTTTTATTTATACCCTCTCCTACGATTAAAGCATGATGGATAGCATTGAAATAGTCTGATATGTTACTGTAAAACTTGATGAACAGCCCTGAAACATTGTCTGACATAGTGCCGGAAGATGAGCCCCTCAGGTCGGAAGGTACTCAAAATACGACTGGGGAAGAGCTGCCTCCTCAGAGTAGAGCTGACCTTAGTGAAGTGGATGAAGCCAAGCTTTCGGGACCTCCATTTGCTGATGGGGCATGACTCAAAATGGGAAGAGACAGTGGCACAATCCATTAATAACTGGAATGTGGAACGTATGAAGTATGAATGTAGGAAAATTGGAAGTTGTCAAAAATGAAATGGAATGCATAAAGATTGATATCTAGGCATTAGTGAGCTGAAATGGATTGTTTTTGACCTTTTTGAATCAGACAATCATATGATATTCTATGCTTGGAATGATAAATTGAAGAGGAATGGCGTTGCGTTCATTGTTGCCTAACAACAACAACATTAAAGTGGTACCAAGGCAGAGTGAATAGTAAAGGAAAATATCAATAAAGGAAGACTCGGGGGAAGGATGAGTGTCATGAGAAAATAAAAGCAGGGTCAGCGAGCCCAGGTGCCTAGTACAGGGTTCTATAGAGTTGTTTAAGGTAGATCATAAATTTGTTTCTGAGCTCCCTGGCAGTCAAAGCAAAAAGATAAACATGCTTAGTAATAAGACTAATATTATCCACACAAATTTCTAAAGAACACTTACTCAAGAGAAGGTACCTCTTCCTGATGTTGAAGTTTTGTAAAGAGGACATTATGTGATGTAGTGGATAATATCCTCAACTCTATGTCTTTAACAAATACAGTAAGAAGTAGACTATAACCACTTCTTACCATGCTTCTGAGGACAAGCCAAATATATACTGTCAAAGAGCAAGTTTATAATGCCAAGTGTTATTTTAATTTACATTTTTAATTACTAGTGAGTTTGAACATTTTGCATGTTTATTGGCCATTTGTATTTGTGTGTGCTTGTCTTTGTGTGAGATGTGTATGTACCTATAAATTATTTACTATGTTCTTTAACCATTTGTTTGATGATGTCTCACTGTTTTTCTTCTCAATTTCATTGAGTACTACCTATACTATAGGATATTAATCATCATATTTATTAAAAATACATTTTCTAATTTATGTATTAAGCACATTCTTATCTTTTATTAGCTCTGTCCAAACACCACCAAATCATAGCAAATTGAGTAAAATTCCTAGTTGAGTGCAATTCAATTTAACAAGAATTCATTATGTGACAATCAGCTTGGATCACGAGATTACCCGGTAAGAAATGGATGGATGAGCAGAATTTATAAATAGTCCTGGAGAGGCCCTAGACTTAGTTGGCTTAAAATAGTGAAGTCCATCAGTGGTGTCTTGGGACTATAGCAAAATGTTTTTATTTTAATAAAAAAAGAAAACACCTCATTCCAGAAAGAATTGGCTGCAGTCAAAATTAGCTACTTTGGAATGAATTGAGGAATGATGGATGGTAGGCTTGGAAAGATTGTGTAACAGCTATTTGGTAAAATACTCTGGAAAAATATATGTATTTTTACACATTTTGCAAAGAAAGTAGTCTTCAGTGTGTTACAATTTATGTATGAGAATATATGCACTCCAAACAAAACCAAAATAAAACCCACTGCCATGGAGTCAGTTCCAACTCATAGCAAACCCCATTGGGTTTCCACAACCGTAAATTTTTACAGAAGTAGATTGTCTCATCTTTCTCCTATGGAGCAGTTTGTGGTTTGAAGTGCCAGCCTTTGGTTCGCAGCCCATATGCTTTAACCACTGCACCACCAGAGCTCCTTCTACTTCAAAACATGACCTTTGAAAGACTGTCCTGGGTGTTTTAGTTGCAAATGTGGTTTTTGGAGTAAGACTCCTTGAGTCCCATTTTGGCCCTGCCACGTCCATAACCTTATGAAATCACTTAACTTCTCTAAGCATCAGTTCTTCATCTGTAAAAGTGGGATTGTAATATAATCTCATAAAGTTGTAAAGAAGATGGAATGAGACAATGTACGTAACACAGATGGTACCTGGACCAGAGTAAGTGCTCAAAAATGGTAGCAACCACCAAGTCAACAATGGTAAAGTGTGTGATGTCGGTAATGAATGGCGTCATTATTACTTATTGATTCCCAGGAGGGTTTAAGGACTTTCTTTATAATCTTAGTTGAGTTACCAGGTTGGAAATTAGAGAAGTAGTTTCCCAACCCACATGAAACTGCAAATGCTCTTCTCTCTAGATGACCTAGTTGAAGGACGTTGGTGTTGGGAAGGATTATGAAGAATTCCCACCCAATCCTGGCATGGATTTTTCCTCAAAGATCCTTTGCAATGCTTCTTTTAGGGACTTTCTGCTTTTCTTTCTTCTAATACTTCCTACCACAAAATAGACAATTGGGTTGACACTGCAGTTGATAGTGGACAACATATTCAAATGGGGGAAGAAATTCCACACAGACTCATCAAGGCCATAGTAAGCCAGAATGAGCAGGACCTTCGTGGGCATGGCAAAGAGAAGAAACAACACCACGGTGGCTGTGATGATGATATAGAGCCTGGCTCGTCGACGTGACTTCTGGTTACAGCCAACTTTGATGAAGAGGATCAGACTGGAGAAGACCATGAGAGGAACAAAGACAAAGAAGGTCAAGACACATGAAAATATGTACACGTATCGACATTCTGGGAATTTAGGCTTCTCTTGCAGAATGCAGAAGAAGTTCTCTAACCCAGACACAAGGAAAGAAAGCGCCCACAGGAGGGTGCAGGCCACAGCAGATTGGTGCTTTGGGCGTCGACACTGGTACCAGATGGGATAGAGCACCGAAAGGCACCGCTCCACGCTGATGGCCGTGAGGAGGTGGAGACCTGTGTTGTAGCCGAAGATCACCAGGAAGATGATGTAGTTCAATTGGATACCATTTTCAGGGTGATTGTAAATTATGCTCATCAAGTGCAAGACAGATGTGCAGAAGAGGACCATGAAGTCGGCAGTGGCGAGGTGAAGAGTGTAGACAGTGAAAGGCTTCCTCTTGATGTGGAACACAAGAAATGATATCACAAGTCCATTGCCAGATACGCCCAGAATGCAAATGAGCAGGGAAACGTAGACGTGACTGGCGACTCCTTCTAAATCCAAAGGGGTCTGGGTTGCTTGCTCTGATGACCATGTTGCTTGATCCAAGGACTGATTTCTGGTGTAGGGTGTGGATCCCAGAGGATTCAAGGTCATTGTCAATAGCTCCATTCTTGGGAAATCACCAGCCTTCTTCTTTATACCTGTTGTCAGAAATGGAAGATGGAGCTTATGGGTGTCATTTGCGCCACATCTCATGGGGCATTAAGTGTTATTAGGGATCATCCTCCATATAGTGGCGTGGGAGGGAGGATGCGAGAGCAGAGAGGGTCTTGTGTTTTGCCTTTCCATTTTGTCCCTCTTTCTCCCCTTCTATCATTTCTCCATCCTGGCAGAATCCATTGAGGTCTCCATATTCCCTTACTGAACAGCCAGCAGTTATTGCCTCAGACGAGGATCCCTCTTCCTCTTTGGCCTAGTAGGAAAACCCACTGGATGCCCAGTGTCTCTCCTGGCTGCCTGAAAGATGTTTCCTAGGGCTCTTATCAGAACGAGGTGGCCGAATCTGGAACTGGGACAGAAAAAAAAAAAGTACTTATTTAAAAATGTACTGATGAGCAAAACTCAATGCACAAAAGAAATAAAGAAAGTAATTATAGTGCGTTTAGAAATTTATTGATAATTTTTGTCCCATCTTTCTTCCCATCAATTTTCTCTTCCTCGTGTCCTGGTTTTGAGTTTGTAGCATCTACATCACCCACCTGGCAGTTCATCCGACCACCAATGAACACAACCAGGTGGCTGCGTCTGCCTCTTTGGTCAATCGAGGGTCGTCCACTTGGACAGGACAATCTAGTAATAAATGGGAGAGTTGGACAGGAACAGGGAGGGGGAAAAGAAAGACGTTATGCTGAAATTGGGGTTCAAGGAGGGAAAGGCTACTTAGGATTAATAGACATGAAGGTTTGTGGTGTCCAAGACCAGGACAGTTTGACGTCCACAGATTTTATTAGGTGTTTTGACTTTTGGATTGTTACCCCTTCTTAGACATTACCCAAGTGTTGCCTGCGTGATGGCCTGACACTACCCAACTGTGGTGTGGGTTCAGGAAAGGGTTTATAGAGCAGGATCCTCCTAGGCAGGGCTGTACTATGGTGACATGAGGTGAGCTGTTCCTTTGTGGATGCTTGACAGCAAAGGACAGGCAGTCCTCTAATGACGAATGGGCACTGTGTTTGAGAGTCGCTTGTCAGCCCCCCTTGAAAACTCAGAACACATTTTCTATAGATTTGCTTGGCACACCAGGGCAGTGGATGGCCTCTTACTTAACCTTTCCTGGAGCTGGTATACACAACTGAGCCATCCGCTGGGGTTGCTGTTGATGAGTGTGTGAAGGGGGAAACAGCCTCAGGCAGGGTCTTTCCTTCCTCCCCTGCAGCCTCTTCTCATCAGAGCTGACTCTCTTCACCTTCCTTCCTGGGACCCAGGAATTGACTCTCTAGTCTCCCTTTCCACAACAACAGACCACGGTGGTTGGTGAGTATCTCTCCCTTCACCTGTGCCATGCTGCAGAGAAGGAAAGCCCTCTGTGGGCTCACCCTCTCCCTAGAGCAGGCCCAAGAACCTCACAGCATCTCCTAAGGGCTGATTGGGAGACCGTGAACACAGGAAAGGTACAGTTTCTGAAGGCCCTGGTCTTCACAGCCGTAGTTGCTGGCTCCAGCCCTTCCCTCCGTTAATCCACTTCTCCCCGCCCAGTCGCAGTCTTTCTCTCTTCTTCCTACCAAACCACAAGCCCTCCAGAGTGCGGGAGCCTCAGCTCCAACGTCTTTACAGGTTTGGGTAAAGTGGACGACTTTTCTTGATTATAAAAATAATGCAAATTAATCTCACAAACTTTGGACAATGAGGAAGAAAGGAAATGAAAACTACCAGGGAGTGGGCAAAGAACGTGGGACAATTTACAAAAGAGGAAATAAAGAACACCACTAAGGCTATGAACAGCTACCCTCTGTGCCCATCCCTGTCTCTTCCTCTCTACTGCCATCCAAAGGTAGCTTCTTTTGCGATGTGGAAATATTGTCTGGAATCTACAACATAAACAGGACCTACAACATAAGGTCCTGCCTTCTGAACTTAATTTTTTAGCCATCAGTATTTTACTGCTATTAAAAATTCTTCAAAAATGTGATTTTTGATAATTACAGAACATGCTATTTCATCTTTGGTTTATTCTTTATTTTAGAGTTTCCCTAATATTAAACACCTACGTGTTAATACTTTTCCATAAATAGCAGTGTGGTGAACACCCTTGTCCACACTTTTCCCTGTATCTCTGCTTTCTTAGGCTATACAACATCACCTACAATTGTTGTGGAGGCCTTGGGTGAAGCAAACCGTTAATGACCTTGGCTGCTGACGGGAAGGCTAGGGTCTCGAGTCCATCCAGAGGCACCTTGAAAGAAACACCTGGCAGTCTCCTTCCGAAAAACTAGCCATTGAGAGCCCTGTGGGGCAGTTCCTCTCCGACATGCATGGGGCCACCATGACTCGGAATCTACTCCACAGCACTGGTGTAATTGTTTAAAACCATGAGGAGTTCGGAGGCTTTGAGACAACACATGGTTGTGATCATGGGCTTTGGGGTCTGGAATTTGGTTTTGAGTCCTGCCTCTAGATTGCTAATTCTCTTATCTTGGGCCAGGAGGCCCTGAGTGGCACAGATAGTTAAGCACTCGACTACTAATTAAAAGGCTGATGGTTGGAACCTCCCAAGAGGCACTTCGGAAAAATGCCTAGTGATCTGCTTCCTAGATGGCACAGCCTTGGAAGCCCTATGGGTCCAGTTCTGCTCTGTAAAACACAGGGCCGTCGTGGATCAGAGCCGGCTTGATGGCAACTGGTTTGGTTTTGATTTATCTGGGGCAAGAGATTACTCTTTAAACCGCAGTCTCCCTGTCTGTAAAACAGAGTTCTTCACCTGGTTGTTGAGGAAATTAGAACAGTGTCATGTGGTAAAGTGCTCACCATCATGCCTGGCAACAGTGAGTGCTTAACAGAGCTGGATACAGTAATGGACATTCCCGGGAAGGTTTGCAGCGGGTTGGACTTCCCTGAGAAGCGTAGGAGAGTGTGTGTTACAATGGACCATTCTCTGAAATCAAAACAAAACAAGCATTGCCCTTTTGATAAGAAAAAAGTGATATCTAAAAGTTTTAATTTGCACGGTCAATTACTAGTGAGGTTCAATATTTTTTAAATGTGTATTGGAGTTTTGTAGTTTTTTCCTTTGTAAATTGTACCATAGTCTTCACTCATTTTCTCTAGTGGAACTAACGTTCTTATTGCAAACAGTTTGCACTTGACTACTAAGGTGAAGCTTGGCAGTTCCGGCGTAACTAGTGGCACAGGGGAAGAAGGGCCCAGCCATGTGCTCCCATGAGGATTACAGCCAAGAGACGCTGATGGAGCAGTTCTGCACTGTGACACCATGGGGTCACCATGAGTAGAAATGGACACGGTGGGAATGGGTTTGAGTTTTGTTGTTGTTGTTTTACTGACTTGTAAGTGCACACCGGAAGGAGCCCTGGTGGTACAATGGTTAAGCCCTCGACTGCTAATCGAAAGGTCAGCAGTTTGAACCCAGCAGCACTTTCACGGGAGAAGAGGTCTGGGGCTATGCTCCCCTAGAGATGTACAGCCTAGGAAGCCCTAGGGGGCCGTTCTGCTCTGTCGTATAGGGTTACTGCGAGTCAGAATGGCTGCAACAGTCCCCAGCAACAACACGTGCATGTTGGAGTCCCTGAGTGGTCCAAACAGTAATGAGCTCAGCTGCAGACAGAAAGGTGGGCAGTTCAAGTCCACCCACAGGTACTTTGGAACAAGTGCACAGCAATGTGCTTCCCAAATGCCGCCACTGGACACCCCACGGAGCACAGTTCTGTCCTGACGCACAGGGTCTCTGTGAGGGAGAGTCAGTTCCCTGGCAACTGCTTAGAGCACATTGATCTCACTGGGATTTCGCCTTGGTCCTCCAGCTGCAGCCCCAGGCCCCTGGGCCAGGCACGTTGGCCTCACAGAGACACGTCCAGTGCGGAGGTGGATGTGGGTCCTTTGCTCATTCAAACTCCGCGTCGTTTTCCTTTCCTTCTCCTGCCTCTTCCCCTGCACTCAGCCTGCTGCCACAACCGTCCCCACCCAGGGGCCTGGGCCACAGTGAGACGCAGGAGGCTGGGACAGAGCACGTGGGGTGTCTTTTTCTGCAAGTAGGTGCATGGAAGGGACTCACCAGCAGCAGCCCTGCAGAAGAGGGGACCTGGGGACAGCCTGCTGCCGGGCGTGGGTAAGCCAGCTGACACTTACGGCTGCTGTTACAGAGAATATGGACAAATAAGGCCATGGTGCCTGGTGACACAATGTTCCCCGAACCAACCTTTCTGCCTGGACCCAAGTGCTTTATAAGTCTTGTTACTCTTGGCTGTGGGAGTGAGCCTTGATGAAAAAGGCAAAGCAGGTTTGAGAAGAAATAAACAGTAAAATTATGTTACATACGTGCTGGTGGCCTTAGTGTATTTCATGTTCATTCTTACAAGAGCCCAGGGAGGTAGGTATTGTCCTCATTAAAAATGGAAGTTGAGGAGTAGAGGAATTTGGTGACTTGTTCCAGGTCCCACAGCCCATGGTTTCACATTTTGTGGTTTCCAATGTCACTCCTGCCCCAGATGGTTCACACACACACACCACACTCCCATCAACACCATCTCTTATTGTATGTGGGGATTCTCCCTGTGAGGAGGCAGGGGGATGCAGAGAGGAGGGGACCTCCACAGGGGAGCCTGTTGACTCTGGGAGGTGGGGCAGAGTTTGGAAAAGGCTGACGGCGGTAGTTGTCCTTCACCACCCTCCACTCCTGCTGTAGATCTGTTGTCTGCAACGTGTCACTTATTGATGTTTCCAGTTGTCCTCAGCCTCTCATCAGTGACTCATCGAGTCACGGAAGGAGCTCAGCAGGGGTTAAATGGGTTCCTGGTTGTGTGACAGTATTACAGTGGATAACCCTTAAAGTCCTGCCAAATTTCATTACTAAATTTCTCCAAAGCAAGCCGGCACCCCAAGCGAGCCCAGACCAGTATACTGCTCACGGCACACACGCGTGGGCCTGGAGGGACAGA